GCAACTCGCTTGACTTAAACGCATGCGAAGATTGTCAAGAACTCTTTTGCTTAGATTGTTGCGATTGTGTTCCCGAAGGAATCAAAGTTCAATGCTCATAGCAGCAATTTATCATGTTGGGCAACCTGGCTAAACCAGGGAAAACAACACCATTTTTAAACCCATGAAAAACCCTAATTTTACCTACCAAATAAACTCCCAAAAACTCTGATTTAATAATATCGAAATAGCACAGAAAAAAGTTAAGCACGCGGGCAGTTGTCTTTTCTTTTTGGAAGAAACTAACCCGAGCCACTGAATAACTTTAACCTTAGTTAAGGCAGGTCAAGTGTTGAAAGCTTTTTACAAGCATTCTCAACCGGACCATTCACCCCAATATTTTCGGGCTTATTTTCCGCTCTCCGAACTCGCAAAACCATTTAGTTTTCAATTCACTCCCACCGAGGAAGTAGAAAAGAAAGCGGACGGAAAATGAGGAAAAGTTATCGCCTAATCAGAGAAACTCAGAAACCAAACTAAATTTGGTTCTGGGTCAAGTCCTGTTAACTCAGTCGGTAGAGCGTTTGCCTTTTAAGCAGAAAGTCGGAGGTTCGAATCCTCCACAGGACACCAAAAATTAATATGGCTCAAAGAGGGCTAAATCCTTAATGAGTTTGCCTTTTTTTAAAACATGAATACACCAAATATACCAATTAAAGAAATCAGTAACCGAGAACTATTCCAAATAATAGTGCACAAATTAGAGAACGGCCAAATTTATTTCGAAGGGGATGGTCACCAATGGTTTCTTTTTGATGAAAGATATGAAATTAAACTTGGAGAACTAGAATTGGAATTTAAAAACTTTAATGGCTACGAAGGCGAAGATTGAAATCAAAAATTTAAGGAACAATTGGAGAAAGAAGAGAATGTTTTACGAGACTAAATTTAAGTGTTGAATTGTTTCCAGAAACCCATAGAAATTTAGTGATCCAAACTAGTCTAAAAAGTAAAATAACAATATTATCAGTATGGAAAAATGTATTCGTTGTAAGAAAACCGATAAGAAAGGTCAATCGGTTGAATACTATAATAATATCGGTATTTGATTACCTAAATTTCAGTCGGATGTTGAAATAAGTTTGAATTCAGAAGAATTGAAAAACCTTTGCGATGATTGTTCCAAAGTAATAAATAATTTTTTCTCGGCTTATTACAATTGTCGAACGGCCGCTCGGGAATTTGGAACAGTGGGAGGCTATCGTGGCCATTGAGAATATGACACTAAAAACCAAACTATCAAATTTTGAGAAAATGACAAAGAATGAAATTTTGAGTTGGAAAAACAGAGTTTTCCTGAGATTTGAAAAGCCGTCTATCGTCTATAATAAAAAATAATGAATCATGCGTTTAATTGAAGAATTTAGGATCAGTGATAAGCCAACAATTACTTTCTTGACTCAGGAAGAAACTGGCAATATCCAAATAAGACAAGAAAGTAATAATGCTTATCAACTGAGTAGCGGCGGGTATTTTTGCCATCTAGTTAATTTGAATGAGTTGTTTTTTGAAAGAAGAGTTGAAAGAGTATTTGATAAAGAGGAAATGAAACAAAAATTAATCAATGCTTATCAAAATCGAAGCAAAAACAAAAAAATTACCGAGATGCTTCAGGCTTATGGAGAAATGTCGTGAGAAGATATTTCTACCAATCTAGCCCAACGAGAGAAAAAAGATAATGACCGAAAGAAATAATTTCCAAAAAGGGGAAATTTGACTATTAAAAAATCCCGAAAGAATTAAAGAGTTAGGTAAAGATTATCGTCCAGTTTTGATAATTAGTAATAATGAACGAAACGAAAATGGAGATTCGGTAGTAGCGTTGCCGACGACTACTCAGGACGTGGAGAACACTTCGCCTACCGAAGTTTTCATCAACAATACTCCTGACAATGGTTTGGATTATCCCAGTAAGATTTTATGCGATTCACCTTTTACGTGAGATAAGGGAATAAGATGAGAAAAGAAATTAGGAGTAGCCGGTAGAGAAATAATGAAAAAAGTGAAAATTGCTTGGAAAATCTCTTTCTGGTGAGATGATTAATTTTTATTAATTGAATTGTGAAAAATAAAGAAACCCTCTTTGATTTTTTACTCCTTGACCCTAACCATTTATTCAGTCGAAGTAAAGGAGAGAACAAAAGCCAATATCCTTGTGGTTCAGGAGTAATTTGTTTGTGGAGAAAGGAAAACTGTTCTCATCTTGGTTTAGAACCAAAAGATAAAAATTTAATAAAGTAATATTATGGAGCAAAGAAAGAAAAAAACGCCCTTTGAAAAGAAGAACCCTAGTTCTCACTATGCTTGAATTGAACGCAAGAAAACTAGAAATCAAGAGCGGTATGAAAAAAGGACCATTTGCGGTTCTTGCCAAAGAGATAGCAAAAGTCATCATTTTCATTGCCGAGAAAAAAATAATTAAATCTTTCTAAAAAAAAAATCTTAAAGAAATTAGTTATTTTCCAAATCTAAACTCCCATAAACAGCAGCCTTGAAATTTTATTTGAAAAGATTTCCCTTTCCTAATTCGTATAACAAACAATAAATCAATCCTTTAAAAGGTTTTTAAAAAATTTTAAAAAAAATGAACGTACTAACTAAGGACTCAACTAAACTTCTTCAAGTTGAAGAAAAAAACTCCCGAAAGTTAATAATCGAAAAATGTAGGTCTAGATATTTTCTTTATCTCGCGACGGCCATAATAACTCCCGAAAGTGTTTCAGGCGGAAAGGCTAAACCAATAGTTATTAGTTTTAACCAAAGACAAAAAATTAATAATCAGTGTGTTATTTACATTGCCGATAATCAAGGTGTAGGCCTATCTAGCTCTTCGGAAAGGTTTTTGTACTTTTCCTGACCCGGCAAAGATAAGGAGCGGAGGTATCGCTTAAAAAATCATCCTCGGTTAAAGAACTTTTTTGCTATTACTGAGATGGATGAAGAAGATTGGCAAACATTGCTTAGTTTTGTCAATGAGAAAGCGGGAAAGGAAACAAAACGAGAAAAAGCCCAGATAAAACTCGGGAAAAAACTAACCCAAAAACAAGAACTCAAAAAACAAGTAGTCATTTTAATTGCTTCCGGTGAAGAATACTTAGACCAAATCAACCAGTGCTTAACCGAATTAAAGAAAAACTCCCGAAAGGAAACTAGTGAATGAACTAGTAAAGACATTAGTGATATTGATGGCAATTTTAACGCTTTAAAAGATATGCTAGTTTTTGGGGATCTCGAAGACGAAATACCAGTTTTATTAGAAAGATTAGAAGATTATGAAGAAGAAAACTAACAAAATTAAGGAACTCGAATTAGATTTGTGAGTTGTGTTGGGGAAAATTAGCCTTTTAGACAAGCAAACCAAAGGCTGTCAACGAGATTACTACTTTTATCAAAAAATCGTGAATTTATTAGACCAGGCCGGAAAAATTTTGCACGACAAATACTACGGAACCAGCCGGGAAACTTGACCTGAAGAAGGATTATTAAGTTTGTTACGAGAAAAAGAGAAGATAAAAGTATTATAAAAATTGTCATGTCTAAATTTATTTTGAACGGAAAATTGGATATTGAGCCTTTAATATCCACCCGGGATTTCTTGCAAAAAGGATTGAAAAAAGCCAAGAATGAATTTGAGATTGCCGGTCTCGTTCAAGCTTTTGAAGTTTGTTTTGAATTAGCTTGAAAGACTTGTCGAAAAATCTTGACTTTGCGAGGTTTAGAATACCTTCATAGCCCCAAAAATGTTCTTCGGGCAGCCGGCTTAGAAGGTTTAATTCCTGATTACGAAATCTGGCATGATTATACCGATAAAAGAAATATTACTAGCCACGAGTACAAACAAAATATTTTGGAAAAAGTAGTTCCTATTTTACCCCAATTTCTCAAGGATCTTAACTTATTAATAGCCGAATTAGAAAAACTTTAATAAATCATGCTACAACTAGAGCAAAGACACTGAGAAACCGTTCGCGGTATCTTACAGAAATATCCCCATTCTTTTTATGCCTACGGCTCGCGGGTTAAAGGTGAAGCTCGGCGTTTATCCGATTTAGATATTTGTTATTACGAAAATATCCCGTTAAGTACACTATCAGAAATTAAGGAAGAATTTGAAGAATCTAGTTTACCTTTTGAAGTCGAATTAGTAGCCTGAAAAAATATGCGACCAGCCTTCCAAGAAATGATTAAAAAAGATTTGGTTTTAATTTCTCCAGTTTCCGAAATTAAGAAATAGTTGCTTTTTAAGAGCTAAACCCCCATAACCAACAGACTTAAATTGCCCCTTCGTAAAAATTCCTTTTCCTAATTCGTATAAATAAATAATAAGATCAATCCTTTAAAAAATGAACGTACTAACCTCAGCCTTAACTAAAAAACAACACGAACAATTAGCCACTAATCGGACTCGGGTTGAACAAGTCTTAAATGAAAAATATTGGTTGCCAATAACTGAGAAAGACTTAACTTGAAAACATAAAGAATTACCTTTAATAGTCCAAGTAAAGATTGACTTACCGATTAGAGGGTGTGGGGAAAGCCAAATTTACCAAACTGCTGTGAACCAAGACGAAGTTGGTAATCGTGTTTACGAATACCTGGTTCGGAAAATTAGCATCAAAGGCTATTATTGGTCGGATAATGGCTTCGACCAAATTATTCGAGAATTAGTCCAAGACTTTCGGAAAGAACAAGGCGAAAAACAATATCAGCAAGAACTGGAATTATTTAAGCAATTAGGTGGAGATGAATATATTCACCACCAAGCCCAAACTTATTTAACTTACGATCTATTAAGAAAAGTTTATCCAGAACTAGTAGCGTGAAGTCAAAATCATCCTCGGGAGTCGGACCAGAAAGAAAAACTAACCGAACTACTTTATACTCATCAACCCAATTGAAAAACGACTTATCAGAATGACCAGTTGTTTACCAAGGAAAAAGATTTAATTTTCGGAAGTT